GCAAAGTCATTGTGAATATGCATACTCCACGATGTCATCAGGTCAATGTTTTTTTTTATGGTGAACAACTTCTGATTTTCCAAAGCTTCAGATTTTTTTTAAAGGGCTGTCATTGCTCTGACAAACCATAAAATAGCATATAACTGATCTTATTGTTATCTTTGGCTTATAAGCTTTCCATTGATATGTAATTCATCTATTGATACTTTCCCTTGCACTCCAGCTCAAGATATAATATGCTTTAATAGTATTTAATGCATTAAGCAAGGATGTTTTTGTTGTACAGTGTATATCTTTTTTGAAGGGGGGAGGGGGGGGGGGGTAGTATTTTAATTTTGGTCACCAAGCAATTTGTCTTTTACAAATCTCGTCAAATCAAATTAGTCTACACCCAGTTCATCTATCATTCGTTTGGTGTAATTTCTCATGTTGTGTCGTGTAACTTCAGTTCATCTCATGCCCATTGTGTGTGATACTTATTTTTCTATCATCTATGTGGGGCCTTGACGGGAAATGAATTATGTTGCTAGGAGACGATCCAAGACAGTCATTTGGGGCTTCCTTGTCTTACCTGAATAATATACAAACCATATAAAAGCGTTAGTAAAGAAATAATAGCCTTTTTGGTGATCTGACTAAATCATACTTAGACCACTTGGTAATTTGATAAAGTAGTAAAACCACATTGACAAATTGGGTGTAGCCGAATATATTTAGTAGGAATAGGCAGTGCACAATTTTTCAGATAATTTATATTCAGAATAAAAAACAAGAGATAGAAGAAGAAAAAACAGGAAAATTCATTTCACTTGTTGCATTGCATTACAATTTTTTATTTTTCTCTTTCTCGAAAGAAAAAGGGTTTATCAAGGGAACAACACAAGTTGAATCACAAACCTGTGATTTGACCTTGCTTATATTTTATACATTTTAAAAAAGAAAGAAAAGAACGATGGAATGTATAGCAGTAAAATCATGTGTTAGCAACTTGAAAATGAAACCTGAATTCTGAATAGAAATATCCTTGCCTATGATAACCAGTGTGGATTAATAGTATGCAGATTCATATCTTATATTAAACAAGGAGACAATTTATTATGAAAGTTGCGCATTAGTTTTGTCGCTCAAAGGAACTTCCACTATCTTACAATTTGCAATATTGAATGAAAATTGGAATAATGATTGATGATAATAAATAATGATGATTTTTATATGGCACATTTCAGGTACACTGTACAAGTAAGTGTTCAAAACATTAATTTTATTTACCCAGCATTGAACTTAGTTAAAAATATTCTCCTTGATGTATAATGAAAATTTTCCACTCCATGAGAGTATGCACATTAATTTAATTGGTCTAAAGAACTTCTTTGCCACTGTGGTGTATGTTCTGAAGAGTTTGTCATGTATTTTCATGGACAAGGCAAAGCTCTGTGCGGTAGTGAGGTAATACTTAAAGTATGGCTCATGCTTGCCAAGCATAGCAATAAGCACTATTCTGTCACCTAAGGTGGAAAAAGTTTGCCAAACATGCTATACTAATGGCTCAAGTTTGGATATTGAATTAGCGCCATCTCTTGTCTGTATTTGACAAATTTAGTAATGGAGAAAGAAAGATAACAAGTTTTTATCCAGTATTTCCACGGTATTAGTGACTCTTGTAAGTTTAAGAGTGATCAATAGATGGAAAAAGCGATTTACAGTTTCCTTTTTCTTTGTTATCTGTTCTATTTTCCCCCCAAAAAACATAGTGACTGGAGCAGGTAAAAATGGTTCTGAAAATACTTGTATTTTGGAGGGGAAAAGACTTTATTTTTCTTCATATGTTGAATGCGTTTTATTATTTTATGTAATATATATGAATAAATGTACATATTCTTTTAGTATGACTAAACAGCAACTGATTGGTATGTCAATTGTACTAATTCTGTGTCAAGACATTATATTTTTCTTATTTTTTCAGTGGCCTCTTCCATGAAAACATTCTTATTGAAAAGGAGCTCCTTGAAACAACCAGTCTGACTTTATATACCTTGGAAATATACCTTGGAAGTAGGCATTTAAAGTTAAAAACTTATTTGCCTCTCGTTGACATTCGGATGAAGAATCCATATTTTGGCACATGTTTAGTGGCGCTATACAGCAATTGACGAACATGGACAAGCGAAGGACTCCTCTGGGTCAAATTAATCTTTTCTTGACGACCAAAATTTCAACAAATTCGATTTAAAGCTGTTTAGTGACTTGCTCTCCACAACTACAGAGGAGAGGTTGTTCCATTCATTGATACACCTCTGTGAAAATGATCCATGTCTAAGCTTCGAGTAGACTTTCTTCTTAACGATCTTGTATCGATGGTCACGGGTTCTATTATCAGTTGGATGGTCAAAGAAGTGTGCTAGATCCAGTTCATCTAGGCCATGCATTATTTTGTATATCTGTATCATGTCTGCTCTATGGCGTCTGTAGGCAAGAGATGGTAAGTTGAGATATTTTAGTCTCTTCTCGTAACTCAAGTGTCGTAGCATGTGTATTTGGCGAGTTGCTCTACGCTGTACCTTTTCTATTTTCGTGCTGTCTTTTTTCAATACAGGATGCCACACCGTTGAGCAGTACTCGAGTCTTGGTCTTATAATTGATTTGTATAGATGTATAAAGCCCGTTTTGTCCAAATTAGAAAATGTCCGCTTGATAATCCCTAGCTTGCGATTTGCAGCAGCACATACTCCATCCACATGACGTGAAAACTTCAATTGCTGGTCAAAGGTTACCCCAAGGTCTGTTTCTACTTCAACGGCAGGAATAGGTGTATCTTCGTCTGATATGAAATAATCATAACAAGGATTTCTTCGACCATAGTGGATTACCTTGCACTTCTCTTAAATGGTAGTTGCCACTGATGGGACCATTTTGTGAGCTTTGTTAGATCTGCTTGTAGATTTTTGCTATCCAATGAAGGGTGAATTGGTGAGAAGATTTTGGTGTCATCTGCAAATAGTTTGACTTCAGATGCAGTGTTACATATAATATCTGGAATGTCATTAACATACAACAAGAACAGTGTCGGCCCCAGCACGCTTCCTTGAGCTACGCCGCTGACAACTTTTGATGCACTCGATGGGGTACCGTTTATGACTACCCGCTGAGTTCTTCCAGTCAGGAAAGACTTGATCCATCTATGCAGATTACCTGTTATACCGTAGGCCTCTACTTTTTTCAGAAGTCTAGCATGTGGGACACTGTCAAAGGCCTTGCTGTAATCCAAGTAGATACAGTCAATACTTCCCTTGTTGTCTAATTCCTTTGTCCAGGTTTCAGAAAATTTAGCAACTGTGTAGCACAAGATCTACTTCTTCTAAATCCGTACTGCTCCTCCGTGAACAGAGAGTTCTCATTCATATATTTGACAATTTCATCACGTACAATGGTCTCCATTAATTTGGAAAGAGAACTGGTTAGACTGACTGGACGATAATTTCCTGGTTTCTTTTTATCTCCTTTCTCACAAATAGGAGTCACATTGGCTTCTTTCCATGAGTCACATACCACGCCACTCGATATCGATTTGTTAAAAAGATGGGCAAGTGGCCGGGAAATGTCGTCCACTAATTCCTTCAGGATGCGATTGTGAATGTTTTCTGGTCCAACTTTTTAAACTTTTAAAGATTCACCTATTTGAAAACACGTACTCCTTTTGGTTTTTAGCACCATGCTTTATAATGACTTTTTATGCTTGATGTCCTGGCTTTATTTTTTGAAGATGTGGTAGGAGAGAGAGAGAGAGAGAGAGAGAGAAGAGAATGGGGAGAGGTGGAGAGAGAGAGAGAGAGAGACAGACGGACATAGCAAGGAGAGAGAAGGGGGGGGGGGGGTAGGATGAGAGAATGAGTGAGAGACAGGTACTGGTATTTTTAATATGAGAGTAAGTATCTATCAAGCATAAAGAGATCGGTAAAGATAAGCAATATTATAGAATAGATAGAAATTAAGGTAACTCAAGAAAGCAGAAAATCATTTTGCCATGAGTTTATGCATCATCTGAAATGTAGGCCTATATACATGCATAAAAAGGAATGTTACAGGGGGAAAATTGTTTTTAAAGAAAAAAGAGGAAGAAGGAAACTGCCTTTCCTACAGCTAGCTTTCGATAACATGATTTGAGATTTTAACAACAAAAAACACATAAGAAATAGATAAGAGTAATTGAGCAGGGCTAACTAAAATTTGGACTTCATTTGATGGTGAAGCTTCGAAAGTGTATATGTTATGCCCTTTACCCTGAAAATGAAAAACGCCAGGGCGGATAGTTAAATTATGGATTGAAGATTTTCAAAATGTTGAATCCTGGAAAATGTAATTTATACACTATGAACTTTACTAAGGGTGCAGCATTTAAGAAGTCCTGAAAAACATAAGGAATTAAGGCAGCAAAGGGATTCAGCTTTAGATAATTTTTATTTTATTAAACCTTTTAAAGGATCATTTCTGTTGCATGTTATACCCTCCCTTGTGGGTGCTATATCTTTGAGAAGGTAGAACCATAATTTTCCTTCCTATTCTCCCTTTTCTCTTTCTCTCTTTTGCCTTTTTGCTCCCCTTCAAGTGTCACCCAGGGCATGTGCCCCCTCGATCTACTCCCCTTGGATATGCCACTGCTCAATTTTTCCTAAATTTGGTTACAATCATTTTTCTTTGGGGTGGTATTGAACCTCCAGAACTCCTACTTCATAAAGCTCTGTTACATATACTACCACTGTGGCTCCATTTTATTTGAAATAACGATTGGGTGGCGGCACAGTAGGCCTATAAACACAAGGAAAACAAAACCACCCTCCGCCCCCCTCTAAAGAAATTTAAAAAAAAACTCTCAGCGCAGTACCGTACTCTATATTTTTTTCGCAGGAGAGATACCATAATCCGTATTATTTGTTGTTATTACTGTTCTGAGCTGAGAGAAGCTACCAGTACCACACCCGTGAAAGAGAAAGGCAATTTGGGGACTTTAATTTGAAGCTTAAGAGGTTGGGGTAGTTCTTCTTTCCCTTTTGAATGTCTGAAGTGATGGTTTTGTGTATTACCCGAGAAGAGGGATTCAATGCTGGAAACATTACATGGAATTGACAGACGGATCATCATCGGCACTGTATGTGCACTGTGAAGATTGGCACAGGCTCTCCTCTGCAGTGACTTTGCCCTGAACTTTGGCGTGAGAGATTTGGAGAACACCCGACCCTTCGCATTATCATCGAGTGCAGCTGCATGCAGCTACCGTACATCATATGTACATGTTGCTTAGCTACATGTACATTATGTTACTGTGACTGATCAGCTGATACTGAATGAGTTTACTAGGTCGAGAAGCTAGAAGCTAGTAGAACCCTTCAAATTGCTCTTCGTTCCTTCTCTTCAGCTCGCTGAATCACCAATTAAGCAACATGGATAGAGCGTACGTAGAATCTTTTTTTGTTGTTTCTCTTTTAAATTTTGTTTTAGACCTAGGTCTAGATCTACCTTAGATTCTAAATATTTTTGGATCAAAATTATATTTTTTTAAACTTTTGTTTATCATTTGACATTTCAAAAAGAAAAAAGAATCTGAATTCTGGTTATCTCAGTTGACATTAATGATTTGTGATACCTTTAAAAAAAAAATTTCTTTCTTTCAAATGATGAAGAATAACTTTTGTGGTGTGTTCAATTTATTGATGGAAAATAAGAAACATTTTTTCCCTTTGATTTATTTAGGTCTATCTTGCATGTAGACAGAAATAACCGCCTGGTATGGGGAATTCTTTAATAAAACTGACATTTGTCAACCTTCCCCATGCACAGACGGTACCCCTAACAGTTTGCAAATTGTGGCAATTTTAGCCATAATCTGTCGAAAAACTTTCTCCCGTTTTTCTTTATCTAGACAATAACAGTGTGATTTTTAAAAATATGATTGGAAAGAAAATAGATGTAATTTTAATATAACATCGAAAATCTTAGTATAACATAAAATATAACAACGAATACATAGGTCTACGGTAGCCATTTTTACTACAGACACTTTGATAACAATTTGATTTCCAGGTTTTTCCTTCAGATAATTCAGATGAATCTACAAACAATTTGATAAAAAGAAGCTTACAGGCAATTTTATGTTCTTTTTTTCAGTCTGCTTTTGTCGAACTGTTGAAATTAAAAATAATAATTAAGAATAGATAGATGTAATTTTATTTTAAAATTCCAATTGTTTACACTATAGCCTAGGAATTTAGGGAATTTAGGGATTGCAAATTGACATCAGTAAAACTCCATGGAAACAGTGAGCTACATTGTACAATGTACAAGTACAATGCATCTCTCAAAAGACAAAAAGCTGTGAAAATACACTAAATACAAAATGAGAGGAGAAGTATGAAAAAGTTACCTGCCGTCCCAAAAGATGTTGAAATTTCCTTCTAAATTACATGGCTTAGAGATTAAGAAATTAAAGGGCTATAATGATCTAATAAAAATATGACTTTGGCATTCATTCTATGATTGGCTTTCCTTCAAATTTCTTTATTATATCTACATGTATGCATGTGCTTGATGCTATTACATGTGTGCATGTACATGTGCAGTACATACTGTAAGCTTCATAAATTCTATTACATGTACCGGTACATGGCGCGTACTCAGGGGGGGGGGGTTTGGGGGGTTAAACCCCCCCCTTTGGAAATTTTTTGTGTGTAAACCCCCCTAAAAAAAACCTAAAACCCCCCCCCCCCCCCCCCCCCCACCCCCCCCCCCCCCCCCCCCCCCCCCCCCCCTTTGGATTTTTTTTTTTTTTTTTTTTTTTTTTTTTTTTTTTAATTATTAAAAAAAAAAAAAAAAAAAAAAAAAATATTCCCATGGCCGACCTAAAAAGGTGACCTTACCCCCCCCCAACGGAGCAAAATGTCAAATTTCCAAATTTCGAGACCAAAAAAAAAAAAAAAATGTGTCCTCTTACCCCCCCCCCCCCCGCTTATTCAGCGGCTGGCTGAGTCGTTGCGAAATTTCGGACCGATTTATAAATGTTAAAACCCCCCCCTTGAAAAAATCCTGCGTACGCGCCTGGTACCGGTACATGTACTTTGTAGTTACTAGAATACTCTGTTCTGGGTTTTTCAAACATACTGTACAAGTACATGTACATGTATATCCAAAAGTACAATTTTTCCCTCTGGAACAACTATTTGTAGGAGTACCAGATCGAAAATATTGTTTGTGAAGTACTTTACAAGTATATTGAGCATACATGTAGGGTTACACTGAGGTCAAGTCAAGCAGAGTTCCTGTTCATTTGTAGACATATACTATAATATAGTATTACTATAAGTGCAGTATTGCTTAGTGACTATTGCTTGAAATAAAGTAGACACTCTCACACTGTGTCATGGGTGACTGCATATTATGCCATAGACTTGGTGTGACTTGGTGTTAATGTGTCTACTTTATTTTAAGCAATACTGTACATGTACACTGTAGCTAGAGACTTCTGCAATTTTCTATTGTCTACTAGGATTTAGAAGGTAGTTACATGTAGTTCTGTGTTAATACTCAAAATTTATGAGCTACATGTATCACCCTCTAAGTCTAAGCTTGAAACAAATTATGTACATATATGTACAAGTACATACATGTATGTACTTGCTCTTGTAATGTATGATTTGTTAAATATTTTCAAAGTTTAATATGTTCATTGTACAACTTTACATGTACATACACCTGTACATGTATATGTATGTATCATGTATCCATGGGATGAAATCGTAAAAGTAAAGCATAAATTCAGGATGAAAAAGAATTTTGTGAGTTTTCAAACTTGTATCTCCCACTTTCAGTTCTGCAAAATATTGGAATAGACCACATCTAATTCAAATGTGAAATTAAGTACAACTGTGCAGTATGTCCAAATATTTAACAGTTGTAAATTTGAGGGAAAAATGTTTTGTACATATACATGTACAATATGTTCTTATTAGAGCTTTCTTTGTGCACATTGTATGCAGTGTAGGTTCATTTAGGATAAATTTTTATTTAGGCTGTTGTGAATGAATTGTAATTTGATCACCCAGCCACTCATTTATATACATCATGGGTTACACAGAGATGCCAACTGTTCCGTTTTTGCCGTATTTGTTCCGTTTTTTCGCTATGAATACGGCAGTACGTTTTTTGTATGTTTTGTTACGTTTTTTTATTTTTTTTAATTTTTTTTTAGTGATGTTTTTTTTTTTTTAGTGATGTTTTTCTTAATTTCTGATCATGGGCTTTGTGTCATAAGTGTATTATGCACCTACATCTTAAAACGATGCGCGCAGGATGGTGATACGGGCCCCAAACTGCGCACATTGCGAACAACCCACGTGTAATGTATGCACGTCGCGCTCCGATCCAGGTATGTATACGTGGTACTGCCTGGTTTTTTAAGCTCCTCGATTGGGCGATATGTTAAGTTGAGAGATTTTTTCAAAAATACTGTTTTTTGCTCTTAAGAATACTTTTTTTTGTTGAAGAAGGTTGGCATCTCTGGTTACATGCAATATTCAATCATCAAGTAGCAAAGTCCATAAAAAGTTGCCATACTGTTACAGGAGATTTTAGAAAAATATACTTGAGGGGTCAGAGGTTAATCTAACCTTTGTGAGGCTTGGCCATGAAGGTGGGCTGTTCTACAACGGTGAAGACATAATATGTGTTTACATGTATTATTGGCATTTATTGAACTAAATCAGAACTTAGAAGCCACTATTTTTGTAAGCTTGTGAGCATTTGAGTTTGCAGTCATACTTACATAAACTTACAAAAAGTAAATGGCCATTCAGAAAGCAATATTTGGTACATGTACTGTACATGTAGGCTTGCAATCTTGCAAGGCAGCAAGTAGCAAGTTAAATTCTAAAGTAACTAGTTAAGTGAATATAAATTATAGTTGCAGTTTTAGCTCTTTGATTAGTTTGAATAGATACTGAGGGGAAGGAGGGGGAAAATAGAAGAAGAAGAAGGAGAAAGAGGAGAAGGGGGAGAAGAAGAAGGAAAAGGAGAAGAAAGAAGAAGGAAAGGAGAAGAAAGAAGAAGAAGAAGAAGAAGAAGAAGAAGAAGAAGAAGAAGAAGAAGAAGGAGGAGAAGGGGGAGAAAAGAAGAAAAGGAGAAGAAAGAGGAGGAGGAAGGAGGAGGAGAAGAAGGAGAAGCAGGGGAGGAGGAGAAGAAGAAGAAGGAGGAAAAAGAGAAGAAAGAGGAGGAAGATGAGAAGTAGGAGGAGGAAGAGGAGAAGTAGTATGAAATAGAAGAAAACAGAGGAGAAGGAGAAGGAGGAGAAGGAGGAGGAGGAGGAGAAGTAGGGGAGGAAGAAGAGGAGGGGTAGTAGGAAATAGAAGAAGAAGAAGCAAGAAGAAGAAGAATGAGGAGGAGGAGGAAGAAAGATGCAATCATGTGGTGAATTATCATTCATGCTGTACAGTGTAAAAATGAGGCTGTAGTTACATGTACATTACATACATTTACATACTGTAATCGTAGAGCTATCTTTAATTCAAGATGAGTCATGGAGAGACGTGGATAGTGAATTTTTTTCCAATAGTGCCGCTCATAATTGAACATCAGTGTACAGGTTTATCAAAGACTTCCTGATGTTAAGCTAAAAGGATGCTAGCACACAAATCCCAATTCTCATTTTAAACAGTGTCAGATGGCCGGAAATGTCATGACATTAAGAACGTGTAGAGGTTTGCCCTTTTTATGCCTCCGTTACGAAGTAGCCGGAGGCATTATGTTTCGGGTTGTCCGTCCGTCCGTCCGTCCGTCCGTCCGTCCGTAAGTCTGTACGTACGTCTGTACGTACGTCCCGTTCTCGTGATCACGTTATCTGAAGAACGGATCAATGGATTCCTACCAAACTTTGGTCATATATGTATCTAGCAAAGTCGATGAACTGATTAGATTTTGGGGTCACGAGGTCAAAGGTCAAAGGTCACAGGGCTCATTATGTATGCAAAAACAGCTCGTGATCGCGTTATCTGAAGAACCGATGGATGGATTCCTGCCAAACTTTGGTCATGTATGTATCTTGTAGAGTCGATGAACTGATTAGATTTTGGGGTCACGAGGTCAAAGGTCAAAGGTCACAGGGCTCATTATGTATGCAAAACGGCTCGTGATCGCGTTATCTGAAGAACCGATAGATGGATTCCTGCCAAACTTTGGTCATGTATGTATCTTGCAGAGCCAATGAACTGATTAGATTTTGGGGTCACGAGGTCAAAGGTCAAAGGTCACAGGGCTCATTATGTATGCAAAAACAGCTTGTGATCGCGTTATCTCAAGAACCGATTGATGGATTCCTGCCAAACTTAGGTCATGTATGTTACTTGCAGAGCGATGAACTTATTAGATTTTGGGTAACGAGGTCAAAGGTCAAAGGTCACAGCGCCATTATGTATGCAAAAACAGCTTGTGATCGCGTTATCATTAGAACAGATTGATGGATTCCTGCCAAACTTAGATCATTTATGTATCTTGCAGAGCCAATGAACTGTGTAGATTCTTGGTTCATAAGGTCCAAGGTCATGGCTCATTATGTATGCAAAAATAGCTTGTGAACGCATTCTCATTAGAACTGACAGATGGATTACTATTTAACTCTGGATATCTTGCAGAGCAATGAGCTGAGTAGATATTAGGATCATGAGGTCAAAGTTCAAAGGGTCATATATGTATATGAGAAATTGTTTGTAATCACGATATTCTGAGAACCTGTTAATGGATTACAATTGAACTTGAATTTGAAAAATTTCTTCTGTTTTGGTTTGTAAAATTGCTCTATGACGGAGGCATCATTTTCGACTGCGCGCAGTCGAATTCCATCTAGTTGTATTGGTTACGGTTTCATATATTGTGCTAATTTTGTAACAAGTTATGGTTATGAGGTTTGCCCTTTTTGTATTGGTTACGGTTTCATATATTGTGCTAATTTTGTAACAAGTTATGGTTTTTGCACTACTCTGTTCAGCAATTTAAACATGCGTTATAAACGTGCCTTTTTAAGGGCATGAAGCTCTAGAGTTTTTGAAATTCCTGAACAATTTGTTTAGTGTCACACTGTGTGTTTGTTCACCTGTCGATTTGATGAACAAAGAATATTTTTTGTCCATTTTTATTTGCAAGTTAAAAATTGATTAGAAAGATTCATTGTATAATGGACATATTCATTTATGACTGAAATACCTGTCTGTCTTGATTTACCAAAAAATCCAGAGATCTAGAGATACCAGTTCCTGAATTCTGCTTTGATTGATTATGTTATCAGCATTTAAACCCAGCATAAATATACACAGTATCATATTAGATGTGTACAAGTCTGCAATGTTTGATGTATATATTAGATAATGGTATCAATTACAATCATCCATTACATTTACAACGTTGTTCAGAAATGGTCCATGAACCACATTTTGCTAATGGGACACTTCACAAGTAATGGAGGAAATACATCAGCTTACTTGCTATCTACTCCAGATATAGACTTTTAAAGATAAAGACCAGTTATGGTCATGTGATTGCATTGTGAAAGAAAAATTGTGGAATCGATCAGAAATGGTTGATCATCTACAGTAGCATATTTATTGGTGTGTACTGCAAGGTTCTGGAATCATCAAAATGATCAGAAATTTGGCCCAGTCTTCGTAAAGTTACAAGCACTGTACTCAGAAAGATGTATATGAGACTACGACACGTGCGTTTACCTCTCATATCCCAATAGATAAACTAATTTACCAAATATAATCAAATAGTAGGCGGTTTCCCAGCAAATTTTTTATCATCATGTATTACTCAAAACATATTCTTTCACGTGATTGGTAATAAGAGCTTCAATTTCAATTTTTGAAATTGGGGCATTTTCAATACTGGTCTTTACCTTTTAAACAGTTCATATTATTTTAGCCAACACAATGTTTTCTGACATACACCTGTACAAGTATTTACAATAATTGTAAATATAGGTTATATACAATAATAATGAAGGATTTACAGGTCTACACAAAAACATGCACTCCATGAAAGTGTACAGTACTGTTCAATCCTTCCATTGATGATGCACTACATGTTGAAGAGCTGGTACATGCTCCATATGGGAAATGGGTGTGTGCAATTTCACAGGTTGCACTGAGCAATGCTGCACAGCAAAGTGTGCAGAGTCTGCACACACTCAACAAGGCTCATTTCGCACTAAATGTACACCTAGGCCTACATAGGTATAAATGTACATGTCGTAGCATCACTTTATTTATGAATTTGATGTCCATTTTTTATTAGTTAATCTTGATTTCACGAAAGCTTTGAATGGTGAAATGATTTATCATATAATTAGGAAAAGAAAAGATTCCCTATAAATCACTGGGAGGAGCTAGTGATATACTGTATCTACATGTAGAATATACATGTACATTTAGCAAGCAAATTGATTACATTAACATATCAATAAAGTGTTTTGTAATACTAGAAAGACTTTGGGTGAGAATTTTTGTTACTAAAATCTGCAAATGATAGTAAAATCTAACATTGAATTTTGAAATAATGTTGGGTCTTGGTTTTACAAGCTTACTGGTATTATATTAATGTACCCTAAACTACCCTTTTTGATTAAAGCAAGAGTATGACATGATTGGGGTCTGGTTTGAATTTGGAGGTGTATTTTTGGAATTCATGAGTTCATGAAATATAATCTCCCTCAAACAAAAAAACCCAACATATGTGATTTGATGACGGTGTCTTCTTCCACGAGTCTTAGATGACGTGCTCTATGTACAGGAGCATGACTCACCCTCCATCTAGATGCACTGTGTAGATGGGGGTATGAAGTCACTCGTACGATGTCGTCACCATGATCGTCTTGACACATTAGTTCTACATGGCTGGCCTGTAATGCGTAATTCCTAATACTTACTCAGTAATGGTGTTGCAATTGGTCATTCCTTTTCCCATTTCGTCACATTACATAATTTACAACTCAATACTGTACAGTGCGCAATATGCAATGTAACTAAATATAATTTGCCAAAAATGAATACTGAATGTAATATTAAAACACACAAAAGATGCATGTAGAATTTAATTTTTTTTGTTTCAAGATTTTTCTCAAGTTTAGAGATTAAAACAAAATTAAGACAATGATTACATATCTAAAAAAAAACTGTAAGTACTTGATTTTTCAAATTGTGTTAAATAGGATTTACATGTACAGTACAGTATATACTCCTGATGTATTTGTTCTTATTTCAGAATTCAGATGAGTAATGAAAATGAAATGGCATTCTTTTCTTAGTACATCTAGACAGTTGGGAATTGTATTTCAATACTAATCGATATCATTCACACAAACAGTGGTGTGGGATGAGGCATGCAAAAATGAAATCAATATAAATCTATATTTATATTACTGTTGGAATAATGAGGAGTGAACTACATACTGTTCAGAGCAATATTGCTATGTACATGATCACATGCACATGTATTTGTAGTTATGAGACAAACATACACTGTAAATTGTAACATGTGTAAAATTTGGGGGTTCTGACTTTAAAGTATTCTTTATAAAATATACATTTACATGTACCTGTATGCTTTTATGCCTCATTATTTGTGAATTGATAAACAAGCCATAGAGAGTAAAGTTTGAATATGACAGAGGGGGGAATGATTCCTGTAAAAAGGAAGATTTATTATATTTTGCTTGTTTTGCATTGACGGATCTCGTACTTGTTGTTATGTAAAATGAGAAAAATAGCCTAAATATGAATGAAAGAATGGTCAGCAGGAAATAAATTCTGTGTACATTACTTGTTCCTAACATGTATCTTTTGTCTTTCTCACAGGGAAAAAGATGAGAAAGAGAGACCAGAAAAATCCCTGCAGGGTATGCCATACATGTGGAAGGGTTTCCTAAGCAACACCACACCATTCACCCATGATATCTTAAAGACAAAGAACATTATCAAGATCTCACTCGGGAGCAAGCATTGTGCATTTTTAACAAACCAGAGATCGGTGTATACATACGGTAATGGGGAATATGGTCAGCTTGGTCATAAGAAATTCACAGACGTTACAAAACAGCCTGTCCTTGTGCAGGAACTGAAGAGCGAGAATGTTGCAGATGTCGTCTGCGGAAACAACCACACAGGAGTGGTGTGCGAAGATGGGATCGTCTTTTGCTGGGGGGATTCCACCAACGGACAATGTGGGATTGGTGTCTCAGAGAAGGTCAATATTCCAACGCAAGTTCATATAAGTGATGCGGACTGTGACCCGGTGATCACGCAGCTTTCTTGCGGGGACTCCCACACCCTTGCAATGTCCACGCAAGGCGAGGTCTGGGCCTGGGGTACTGGTCCACAGCTAGGACTCTCAACCGGTTCCACCCCAGTGTTATCCCCAAAGAAGGTCAGTGCCCTCATGGGCCGGAAAGTACTCCAAATGGCCTGCGGAGGCACCATGAGTCTTGTGCTCGTCCAAAGACTGAAATCGATGCGGTCGCCTGGCAACAAGTCCAACGAGCCTGAGGAGGAAGGGTCTGGATCTAGCCTAACCTGCCAGGACACTGTCTACACAATGCATGATGAAGGTGACACTGTTATCATATCAGACAACTCCTTGTTGTGTCCTGATTCCGGGGGCACCACATCTAGGAGTAGGAGTATATCACCTGATAGCATTGATGTGGCAGCCATACATGCGCAGCAGGCAGAGTGGGCGGCTGCAACAGAGGCAGTGGATAAGAAACGAAGAGAGAGAGGATCAACCTCTTCACAAGGTAGTAGTGAAGGTATGCATGACCCCTCCTTACTAACCCACTAACTTCCTGTAGATCACCAGATCATACAGTGCTGTAAGTTGTAGTTTGATACAAGGTCATGTAGTTGTAGTTGTGACCCAATCCATGTTTAGTCTGTCATGAAGAGAGTAAATCAGTGGGCATTTTAAAGAGTGAAAGTGAATTCTCACAACATACAGTAATAGGTCCAGGATATCTTTCAAGATCCTTAAAAAAATGAGGACAAAGGAAAGATCTAATATGCTGTTGAAACATGTACCATAAGATGTAGGGCATATAAAGTTACTCCTGGGTATGTGAACTGGCAACTTTTCATACTCTGATTATTAATGTAAATTAGTTTTATAGCCTTCCTTTGTAGGCCATGTAAAGTAGAATTAGACCATTTTTCATTATAGTATGTTAAACCCCTGAAATCCCAAACTTCCACCCGTGTGGCACAACTTTGTAAGAATTAATGATACACACCTGTATGAATTTTACATTTGTTCTATTTAAAATGAACTTGAACTGAATTCAGTAAATGAAGTACATGTATATTTATATACATTTAGATGAATACTTTCACTGGCTTTAGGCTTGTACACTGTAGATGCAGAGTAAAGCAGCTATATGTAAGGATACAATTTGTTTGATAAAATCTAACCGTACTAACAAGGCCATGAAATGCTATGAAGAATTTTTACTGCATGGTTTGAGCACTAGGTAGATTTATATTTTTTACATCTACATGTACATGTAGGGTACCATTAAAATAATTGACCAAAGTAATATTCTACTAAAACATGTAATGTACAAAGAAACTTTGTCCTGCTAAGGTGAATACTAATCTGTATGTGAGCTTTCTCATTTGTTTTATGTCATTTTGGACGAGTATCATAGAAGAAATGTCCTCTGAAAAGAAGAACGTTTCTTTCAAAATTCAATTGCACGACCAGACATCAAGGTTCCTTATCTTTAAAACATTTTATCAGAACATGAAAAGAAACGTTAGCAATTCAGAAACATTCAGGTGCAGATATTTTTACTTTGAAGAAAAAATTCTGCCTTCTAAAAGTTCTAGTGGGGTTATACATGTACTGTATGTACTTTACAGCATGTGGAATGTCTTGACACTGCTCTTTAGGAAGCTTTAGATTTATATGCATCTTGTGGAAGCATGCTGAACATTTTTTAATGGATGACTGCTATGCAATAATTACATGAAGGCTTCACACATGGACACTGAGAGAGACACTAAGAGATAGAGAATGAGAGACAGAGTTAAAGAGAAAGAAGCAGAGAGAGAGAGAGAGAGAGAGAGAGAAAGTGTGTGTGTGTGTGTGTATGTGTGGGGGGGGGCTGGGGTAAAGAAAGCAAGCATGATGGCATATTGCATTTTGTTAAAGTTATCATGTAATTAATTAGCTACTTTTCCAAACTTTGTGAGAGGTTTCTAGAGCTGCCAACTAGTACGGATTTCCCGTAATTGGTACAGAAATTAACGGTCATTACGGAATGCTGTCTAAAAATTACAGATTTAAAAAAATAAAAATAAATATGATTTATCCGACTGACATGCGAAAGAGTCCTACATACATGTACCCCAAGACGAACATGTACATGCATGAAGTAATATTAAAATTTAAAGCAATTTATGTACACATGTACATGCTTGAAAAGACATACCTAAACCGTGTCTCCTTATAGAATCAAAACATATTCCAATAATCACAAAAATAAACCCCTTTCTATTCTGAATCTGATATTTCATTTCATTTCCCTTCTTTCTCTTCTGGTTTTATATATACCTTAAAATACAAAAAATATATTTCAAAGTAGAAACAAAATAATTATTGAAAATAGTGCCAGGCATTTTGACTTCTTTTCTGCTTTGCAGGTACCTATACTTTGGAAGACTCGAGCGGTAATTTGAAGAGAATCAAAGAAGAAGCAAGTGAGCAGAGTGGTAGCCAACCCAACGGTGTCGCCAAGAATGGCATTGATGGAGGATGCGCAGAGGAAGATGAAGATGATGTCTTTACAACTTCTAAGGGCACGAAAGAACTTCTGGCAGAGCAGTTGAAGCCTCTCAATATACAAGGGAGTCCAGCGCAAGGTGTCGCCCCTCAGCAGCGACCCGGTCCCAGTACCCGTATCCTGGCCTCGCTGCCGCAGTCTGTGGCCCTCCGACTGGAGAAGATCATGATGCCCCGGACCAGCCTGACGGAGACTATCTCTCGGGCTAGCAGTGATAACTCCATCTGCGAGACAGAGCTGATCATCAGGGATAAGGATGCTCAGGCCCTGGAGTCTAGCTGTAACCTGCCTGATCGGAAGCTACGGACGATGTCCCCTCTGATGGGTGGGTTGGATGATCTGGTCTATCAGACAGAGGTCTGGAGCTTTGGGAAAGGCACCATGGGACAGCTGGGTCAGGGAGATACACTTGACAAGTAAGTTGTGTACAGCCATAGAGGCAAGAAGTAGGGGTGCTATAATTTGTGTACATGTCTCGGCTTATTGTAGCTCACGATATGACTGTTTAAGAATTTTAAAAAAGAGAGCGGAAGTGAGGAAGAGAGAGGATGATAGAAAGAAGAGATAGAATGATGGAAAAAGAGAGAAAGAGAGAGGATGATAGAAAGAAGAGAGAAAGAGAGAGAATGATAGAAAGAAGAGAGAGAGAGAGAGAGAGAGAGAGAGAAAGAAAGAAAGAGAAGATAGAGAATGAAAAATACAAAATGGGGAAAGATAGAAAAGAGAGAAAAAATAAAATGCTATGGAGCTACAAATTGTATACACAGCCGTACAACACACCTGCCTGTCTGTAATGTATACTTCCCGTACAAATAGTTTACTGCATGAAACAGGTAAATGCATTTGATTAAATGTCAGAAAGGGTACAGGATGACATTAAATTGACACTCAAAAGGGGGAGATGAAATACATACATGTACATGTATAATGGCATTTGAAGATCTAACTAAGATGTAGAACAATTATTTTGAGATAAAAAAGAAAATTAAAAGAATAAATTTGTATCAGCATCAAATATTTCTTATCATATTTGTAATGCAATAGTATGTCACTTTAAGAATTTAGTGATAGAGGCTGAAGAATTATGGTAGTACAATGTTTAAAAAAAGTATACAACATTTAATGCATGTACATGTATGTTTAACAGTATAGGACACCTGTATCCATACATACATGTACATGTATTCAAGTTACTGCGCTTCATTCAAAAGCATATGGTGAGCCCATAGGAGTCTCAAATAACACACATTATTAATCTAGGGATAGGGTAGTGGGCAGTAAATTGAGTGGTACAGACACGTCGCCTGATATTACTAGTGTTATAAAGGTTAGGGAGTCTACAGACCAATTTATGCCAAACTGAGGCATGCCCCTAGGGAGATCGCACCATTTTGTCTCGCCTTCGCATTTATAAACAGACAGAAGGAAGGACTTGAAGTCTTGAATGCATAACCACATCAAATATGGAGTCATTCCCATGGTCTATTATACTAGTACTCAGTACTTTTTCTGTTGAGTTTTAGCAATATGTTCATTTGAAGAAAAAACAAAAAGGCATTTCAAAGACTACAATGTACTGTGATGTACATGTACCTGTATGCATTGTACTACTTGTAAAATATGTATGGTGTAAACAGAACTCCTGAACAGAATCCTTTTGATACTGCTATTTTTTCTCTCCTGTTCCAAAGGTTAATTAAAACTCATGAATGTGAAAGGGCAGACAACAAATAATCTTATTCACTTCTACAGATAAGAAACTTCTTTTTTCAACATTCACCTTTTCAAGCCATTGAGAAGCATTTTTTAAACTAGGATTTTTGAATTTCATGGTTTATAAGATGGATTTTATTTTAGTGTACAAGTAGCATCTGTTTTGATCATAATTGTTTCATTTTCACTTAATTTAGCTTAATATATTCAGAAATTTGTTATTGATATTTGTACTTTGCATGTGGTCATTGGACACAGTTCATGTTGTTGATTAACGCCAATGGTTAAAATGTGTGTATCCATGAACAAGATATAGCAACAGTGTGGATATAAATTATAATAAGTGACACATGTGGTCACTTAAAGTGTGCAGTAGCCCCTATGTGGATTATTTACTGCAATAGGGGTCATATGTTCACCCTGGCAGGAAGGGGTGGTGATCTTAATCGGCTTAAAATGGCTAACATGTGTAGCTGCAAGAGAGAAATATTAAGTTTAATTTCAGTCATCTCATTACATGAAGCACATGTTTTCATCTCCTTACATGTATATTCCTTGAATTTCTGATTTTTTTTTGTTCTACAGATATAGAAAATGTATACATGTAGGCCAAAATTAATGATTGCACAATTCTTCAGAATTTTTTCTGCTTTGAAAATATCTTTTCTTTTAATACATTATCTGTTTTTGGGGGGGGGGGGAGCTCTTATGTTAATGCCACTACTTTTCACACACTCTCATTCTCCTCCCTCCCTACGAGACAGATGTTCGTTCGTCCTTCAAACAATACCCAACCCATTCATCACTCTTGTGTGTAAACACATGGGATTGCATATGGAGACGGGTAATATTCATCAAAGATGCGGTTGGATAGGATTTGTCTGGAAATGTTTAGACTTTAGAGGAGACATAGATAATGAGCTTTTTAAAGGGAATACTCAAAATAATCCTCGGAAATCAGTGATTTGTTTGTATTTTATACATTTACATGTAATTTGTGAGGTCTGTGACGAGTGCATGTTTTGCATATATCTACGAGTACCACCTACACATGTACGATCTCGATTGTTCATAAATAATTTGACTACTGTGCATTTGCACTCTGTGAAAGGGATTATCAGCAGTTTCTCAATCTCTTGAAAACCCTTCATTTGCAGACATTTATATCAAGTGCAGTCAGATGAAAATTGAAATGTAATCGGAGCTATGCCAAATGGGAACGTTAGACATCAAAGATACAATCTGAAACATATCAAATGAGTTCATTCATTGTGTTTGACATGCAGGAAGTTTGCAGGGATCTTTGGTAATTGAATCTATTGGTCAAATTGATCAAATTACAATCCTGGAGCACTACTCTTTGCTTTTTAAAATGTAATGGCATTACAACGAAATTTTCATATACCGGTAACGATATAAATGCCGATGCTAATTAGAATATAAATCTAAAGGGTAGAATGCAGGCGATGGTAGAAGAAAAGATGTACATGTACAAGAGGGGGGGGGGGGGAATTTAGACATGTATAATAAAAGATACACATATAAATGGAGAAAGGAAGAGAAAGAGAGAGAAAGAGAAAGAGAAAGAGATATATATGTACAGGGGTGTATATAGAGATAGAGCGAGAATGTTTCGCACCATGTATACATGTACATGTACAATGTACATGAAATAATCTGCCAGTCTTCTTGATTCAAGTCAGTTATTCTCCTTCAACAGTAAAAGCAAGCATTAATTAGATAATGAAATTCTTGTACTTCCAAATGTTATGACCGATACAACACTGCAACTCAAGTGAAATGTTTTAATGCCAAAAGCCAGGCAACTACCCAAGTCGTCATAAGGCATGTTGCCAATAGTCAATACAGTCTGCATATTTGTTAATGTTATGCAGGCTAAATTGAGTTGAATGCCTGTGGGTATGAATGACCTGAATATAGCCCTGTCCAATTGAGTCACATTCCTTAATGCCATCTGGCCAGCTTCGTCGTCGTCATGAGTAATGAGCTCCTTCAGTAGCTAATGTCAAGACTAACTGTATGCGGTGACTTGACGGAAAAGCCTGATTCCTCTGCCTAGAGAGCAGGCATTCATTTAACTTGGAGGTGAATTTCTAGATTTGTGCAGTTTGATCCGATATTGATGACAGAACAATTTCAAATATTCCTAGAGCCAAAGTTACTCATGGACTTGTTGAA